ACTCATATATAAGTATCAATACAAAAGATATTGTATATTTTAAATTGGATATGAGAACGAGAATAGGTATGTACACATTCATCTAATTTTCATCTCAATATCTATTTTTGTCATCTTAAATTACCAAAATATTTTAAATTTATTAGGTAATTTAAATGACTTAATTAATTCTTTTTCTTTGGTTTTGTAATTTATTTTCGAAACACACATATGATCATTTTAGTATTTTTCTACAATTGTTTGATCTTTATCTAATATTTATTTGATGTTTTTATTTAATAGAAATAAAAGTATTTTTTCTTAATATTTAATATTGAAGAAAATAATTAATATATTTCTTTTTAATATTTAATATCTAATAAAATAATATTTATTTGTTGTAATTTTTATTATTTGTAAAATAGTTATTTAATTAATATTTGGATGGGAATAAAGATGAAACAAAAAATTTATACCTCTTTTAAATACGAAGATGCAATAAATTTTTACTTCAACGGTCTAATTTGCTTGTTATTCATCCTTTTGATTATCGTCCTACAGTTGTAACATAAATCTCATTAGTTAATTTTCAAAATTTTAAAATAAATTCATCTTACACTATACTTAATTATTAAATGCATCTTACATTAGCTATAAAAAAAATTATCATATACCTACCTAACAAAATATTAGCGTAGGATGTGTAATATCCTACTTTTTTTTCTCTTCTAAAATTTATAATTAATATAAATCAAATAATTAGAATAAAACTTTATTTTTATCTTATTTGATGTCCTAAATGATGTCCTAAAAGAAAAACAAAAAAATAAAATGATGTCCTAAATGTCTTCTGAAATTAACCTTTCTTTCTAATATTGAGCATCTTCCTCCGTATTTGTACAATCATATGTTTTTATTGTGAAAAATCATGATCATCCCAAATAAAAACATAACTATCAAAACAAATATGTAGGCTAATATAAAAAAAAAGAGAAAAATCTCAATTTTAAAAATAAATTCGTTTAATGTTTAAAACTTATGACATTAAAAAAACATAATTTTTCACATCAAATAATCACAACATATTGACTCATAGGGTTCTTAGTCCACAAACATTTGTTTTTTAACTTTGACAATCTAAACACCCTCAAATTGTTGGAAAAAAACGTGTTATCTTTATCTCCAATAATCATCCTACTAATAAAGAAATAAGATAAAAACAAAGAAAATAATAATATAACATAGAAACTCCAAAACCAAAAAAAACCATGACTATTGAAGATAAAATTATGTGAAAACTTGTACAACACACTCACATGCCTTTTGACTCCAAGTATATCCACACTCTCCAAAGCAATAATTTAATCCAAGCCTCACAACACTTTATTATAAAAGTATAAGAAAATCCAAATACAAACTTAAAATGTTTGTTTACCCGAACAAGAAACACCATGGACCTAGAGTCAATTATATAATCACCAAACTCACTCATATGGGACTTTCCCAGAGATACTATTTTCATTAGCCCAACCATCTTCAACGTGATTAAAATAAACACATATTCACTTTCATACCAACAATCATAATCCACCATAGATAATATGTTCACTTGAAATTGAACCATCCAAAGAATTTTCACACACCCTGCATTCATGTTAACCAATGCATGTGTATAATTACCACAAACCATGCATCAATATTAGTCAATACATGTGCATAAACACCATACTCCTTACATCAATGCTAACCAATGCATATGCATAATCCCCACACACTTTGCATCAATATTAACCAATGCTTATATATAAAATTACCGTTAGAAAATACTCATCCTACCAATCATTATCTGCACAACCATGAGTTGCCACATGTCACAGTTCTCCACTTTCAAATCTGACCAACCAAAGATCACCTTGTCATCTCCTTCTTCCTTAAGCAGATATGTCAAAACTGTAAGCCTTCATCGCATGGCCATTGTTGAAACAACGTTGAACCCTGCATCAACAACCTTAGTCAAAAACCAGTCGCCACTGAGCACGTGTCACATGCACCTCACAACCTTTACTGCCTTGCCAGAGAGCGTTAACCACAACACAAATCCTCCTCACGTAGATCATTGAAAACTTGAGCTCTATCGCACACAGATCCATAAATATCTAGTATGTAACAATATCAAAGAATATCTTTTAATAACTAACAATATTTAATAATATTTTTCTAGTTGAATAATTATTCCCCAAATCTGATTTCTTAGATAATAAATGTTTTAAGTTATAATTAATAAATTGTTTTATCTTTACTTAAAATATTTAACCACATTAGTATATTTTTCTAATTATTGAAATTTATTGAATCTCACATTCCCCCACTAAAAAAAATCCATCCTCGAAAATGTACTTACTAGTGAAACATAAGATATCATCATCTCATGCCTTCCTCATATACACCTAAAAAAAATACTAAAAAATGCAATTGAATAAACACATAACACATTCATATTTTGGCAGATGATGCACATAAATGCATAGTAAGCTCACTCCCGTACAAATCACTTAACACCTAACATGGTTTTGATACCAAAATATAACATCCTAATTTTTTTTTCGTTTCCTGAAATGTATAATTAACACAAATTAAATTATTAGAATAAAACTTTACTCATGAAAAAATATATTGTATTACAAACATATACTCTGTTGAAAAGAAAAAAACATAAGAATAAAAGATTGTCCAAAACATATTGACCATTCTTTCTTGTATTGTACATCTTCCTCAATACTTATAATCGCTTTGAATTAAATATACACATGTTTATTTAACTAATCAAACATGTTTATTTGACATTATTTTTTAAATTAGATCGTGTATGATGTCATGGTTAGTGATATATTTGTCAAAGTGAGAAGGGTAAAATAGAAAAAAAGTATTTGTCTCTAAATTAGAAGGGTAAATACAATAATTGAGTGGAAGGAAAATGGAGTTTCATTGGGCAACATTTTCAAATTTCAAATGAGAAACACATAAGTGGTGGAGGGATTTCAAAGGGTTTGATAAGATGAGGGAAGGGTGTTCATTGCATATGGTAAGGTGTGGAGGAGGAAGGCCAACGAGGTAGGTTTTGTTCCCATTGGAGTGGAAGAAGAATCTCCTTATATAACCTTTAGCGTTAGGCATGGGAAGTGTGGAAGAAAAAGGCGAAAGAGGTAGATTTTGTTCCTTTTTTCGTTTTTATTTTTCGCTCTCATTTTAATTTTCCAATTAGATGGTCATATTTTGTATTTTTTTTTAAATGATAAATTCATGATTAAATGGAGAATTTTCATAGACCTTGGTTAGAAAATAATTTTACTTTAATTTATTATGGTTTGGTAAATTAATGAGTGATGTCTTAGAAAAAAATAACACCGATGTTTGATTTTTTTTAAACATCCAAAGTTTATCATATTTTTCTTGAGACACTGACAAATTAACTAATTTGGTTTTTTTCGTAAAAAAGTAATATAAGTGATTTAAAATAATAATATAAGTGATTTAAAATTTTATCTTGTTTTTTTTAAGTTTCTTATAATAAATAGTTTGTGTGTTTCAAAAATATAATTTTGTGTGTGAATTTAATATATTTTAATGTTTTATGTCTTTTTAATTTTAATAATATCTTATATGATACATATGATTCATATATTTGAAATGTATGCTTCATATTAATACCATGAACATATTTTGAGTAGGAAAAATATAAAAATAATCAATACTAAAATTAATTAAAATATTATTAAAAATAATATAATTTTCTAAATAAAATATTAGGGAAGGAGAGAGGATGTACTTAAAAATTAAACTCTCGTCCTTTTATTCTCATTTGATATAGAACATCTAGAATTTTATGAGCATAACATCAAAATACAATAAATGAATATTAATGTTAAGGGAGGCACCCTCCAACCCCCATGCAGTTCCGTAACAAACCTGACACCACCAATGATGCTACTGTTATTATTTGTGCCAATTTATTCATATCAAAAAGTACAATTCCTATGTATAAATAATATCTACAAATATAATATATTTATGTTCGATTTAAATATTTTACACTTATTTTTATTTTTCTGTGGCAGATCTGAATGATAAATGAGGAATTTTGGCCTCCCAATATATAAAAATATATTTTTTAATTTTAATATATTATACATATTCAGTTTTTAAAACACAAAAAAAAAATTGAGATCTCAAAATATTTTCTTAGGGCTAACAACTTTATGATGCATTGCGTTTAACCTAAACCCTCACATCCCCATCTCTCATATCATCTATCCACATCTACCATACATGCATTACATCACATGCATCATAAAACCACATCACCATTCACTTTCTAACCTTTTCTCATTAAACCATTTCTTCCATTTTCTTATAAGTAACAATCATTTATCAAATTGATTCATAACTAATATTCATCTAAAAATTTGGCATTTACTTTCACTAAAGGCTTTCCCTTCTAACCAATTTTTTTTTTCTCATTTATAGAGTTTGTACTGAAATTTACTATCATGATTTCTAAATTCATATTTTAAATTAGTGAATATATTGTACCAACTGTTGCTTTAATTGACCCAAGGACAAAATGTACTTTTCCAATATCTTTGTCTGGTTTATTTAAGAGATAAATTGTTAGTTAATTCGCAACCACTTTTTTAATTTATAAGGTGTTTGTAATGGTTTTATATTTTTTTAAATAGTACTACATTTTAATCAAAGAATTAATTATATAAATAAATAAACAAAAAAATGAAATATATGATACATTGTTGTTGAAACTAAATTGTCTAGAAAACTTAGAATTAGAATTAGAATTAGAATTGGAAGATGTCATGATTAGTTAAAATATAAAAAAACAAAGAAAATCTGGTTTTTGCATCTTCTGCTGTGCTTTTGTTGGCAGGACCTAAAAATGAGCTCCATGTCCTTTCATTTGCCATTCTCTCTCTCTTTCATATAATTTGTTGCTTTTCATTTTGGCATCACACAGTATCAAAGAGAGAAAGAGAAAGCGGTTTTGCAGAAAATCCAAGTGAATTTAAGGAGCCACCACTGTTCCAACCAGCCCTTTCATTTTTGTAGTGCCTGTTTGGTTTTTCGTCTTTGCATTCACTGTTCCACACGAAAAAAAGCTCTTTCGTTCCATCTCTTTCTGTCTCGAGATTGGTGTGTGCAGCAAGATAAAGCTCTCACTCTCTCTCTCTCTCTCTCAGTAGCATCACTGCTCTTCTTTAAACTCTTGAAACCCTGTTCAAAGATTGGATTTTGAGGGGAGTTGAGGGAGCAACATCTGATGAAGGAGTGTGGAGGCTCTCTGGGGGAAGAGGGCAAAGAAGAAGAGGACTCTAAAAAGGTGTCTTTTTGAATCGAAGAGCGTTTTGGGTTTGTTGTTATGGCACTTTGTATGCAGAGAGATTCAGTATTGAACAGGCTCATGGATTGTGGCAAGTATGTGAGGTACACTCCCGAACAGGTGGAGGCTTTGGAGAGGGTGTATGCGGAGTGTCCCAAGCCTAGCTCTTCCAGAAGGCAACAACTCATTAGGGACTGCCCTATCCTTTCCAACATTGAACAAAAGCAGATCAAAGTGTGGTTCCAGAATCGCAGGTAGAGGAGATAAACAGTCGTTGTTTGTGTTTTTTTTTCTCTGATTGGCATTCTCCCTTCTTCCCTTTGTTCTTTTCATTTCTTTTCTTTTGTTGGGAATGCTCAAAGGTGGATTTTCAGCTTCTTTCTTAGTATACTTGCTCTTCAGTGAGTTTTTTTTGCCCTTTCTGCAAACTTGGGTGTCATAAGAGGTGTTTTGTTATTTGCATATTTTTTATTTTTTGTTTTTCCAAATGTGCTACGTGGGTTCAAATTTAGAGAAATATTCATTCTTGCCGTTTCGAAAAGCTTTGAGCATCCCTTTTGAAGGAAAGATGCACATGAAAAGTTACTCCATTTTTGCCATTTTACTTGTAGATATCCCAGTTGTGAAGATCGATCTTTTTTCATTCTTTTGTTCATAAAAAATGGCTTCTTTATTTCTTATTTTTAGCTGGTTAATGGGAGATAACGACATCTACTTGTTCATTTTTGTAGGTGAATTTTTCTCAACCGCTCTCTTCTGACCTCTATTGTTTTTGTTTTAGACCATCTCATGATGTTTCTGTAGAGGGTGCTTTAACAGAAATGTTCATATGATCATTTGGCTTTAGTTTTGGTATTGGTTATGGATAAGGCGAAGGAAAGTGACAACTGATTCTTATGACTTTTGCACTCTAGATTAATTATTTTTCACCATCAACTTTCTTTTTGTTTCATTTTTCTGTTTGTTTTCATTTCGGTAATAATTTTTATGGCAGAGAGAAATTTATGTCTTGCTGTACATTCTAAATTTTGTTGAACTACTTTTTGCCCTTGCATTAATTCTTTAAAATTAAAACGCATGCACACACATGTGAGTGTATGTATCATGTTTCCAACTTGTCATGTGCTATGACAAATTTAAGCAAAATGTTTTGATCTGATGGTTGGTTGGTATCCTAATTTAGATGCACTTCTCGTTGTTCTCATTTTACATGTCTTTGATTTGAGGACATGATAGCTTAGTAAGGGACCTGTCGGAATATATATTAGGAAACTTTAAAGAGTGAGTGAGTTTACGATGAATGACCATCATGCAATGTTGTTGTTGTATGGGAAAAATGACCTACTCTACTTGCTTACACTTGTCGATGTTCTTCTTTAGATGTCGCGAAAAGCAGAGGAAGGAGGCCTCTCGTCTTCAGACAGTGAATAGAAAGCTGTCGGCGATGAACAAGTTGTTAATGGAAGAAAATGACCGTCTGCAGAAGCAGGTCTCACAGTTGGTTTATGATAATGGATACATGAAACAACAAATACACACTGTTAGTAACTTTACCTTTGGGTGATTGCCCTTCTAAATTCTCATTCTGAATATTCATTGGTGTGCCATTCTATGCACACTAGTGTGTTTGTAGTGTACTGTTTCGTTGTTGCTGAAGAATATCATTTTGTGGTTTCTTAGCAGGCGTCTGCTACTACTACTGACAATAGCTGTGAGTCTGTGGTAGTGAGTGGTCAGAAGCAACAGCAAAACCCAAAAACTCAGCATCCCCAGTGGGATGCCAACAACCCAGCTGGGTAAGTTCTCCATGCATGCAAGCAAATTTGTTCAACTTACATTCATGAGTAGTTCCTAATTCTGTATTCTGCCAGTCTTTTTGCAATTGCTCAAGAGACCCTGGCAGCATTTCTTTCAAAAGCTACTGGAACTGCTGTCAACTGGGTTCAAATGATTGGGATGAAGGTGTGACCTACTCAATAACTCTTCATGGCCATAGCTTTCATAAATCGTATGTTTGTACACTTATGTTTTTTGCTTTTCATTCTTATGTAGCCTGGTCCGGATTCTATTGGAATCGTTGCTGTTTCCCCCAACTGTAGTGGGGTAGCAGCAAGAGCCTGTGGCCTTGTGAGCCTAGAGCCCACTAAGGTATTTAGCTTTAATCATAATCCATTTCTACTCAAGATTTATTTTCTTTGCTGAACAAAGAAACATTGCTTCATTGGCCTAATTGCATTCCAAATCATCTCAGGTTGCGGAGATTCTCAAAGATCGTCCATCATGGTATCGTGACTGTCGATGCCTCAATGTATTAAGCGTAGTCCCCACAGGGAATGGGGGCACAATAGAGCTCATGTACATGCAGGTCTAGTGGTTGTTTTATGCAAAAGAAAGTGGAATTGCATTTTAATGTACTTTTGAATCACTTCCTCTATTGTTCTGTTGATATTTTGAATTTGATTTTTATCAGACATATGCACCTACAACCTTGGCAGCTGCAAGAGACTTCTGGACTCTAAGATATACTTCAACATTGGAAGATGGAAGTCTTGTGGTACTAAACTGAGATGAATCTTGGTTTTGTTTTTCTTGATATAGGACGTGACTTCTTTCATAGGAAAAACTTGTCTTGACAAAACTGTTTATTTGTTATTTGCCTTGCAGATTTGTGAGAGGTCTTTGACTTCTTCAACGGGTGGCCCAACAGGGCCTCCTGCTTCAAACTTTGTAAGAGCTGAAGTGCTTCCTAGTGGCTATCTAATTAGACCCTGTGAGGGTGGTGGATCTATTATTCACATTGTTGATCACATTGATCTGGATGTAAGGACAATGATGCGGTTGAAATCAGTTTTGAATTTTTCATATCTTTGAACTCCATCTTTCTAGTATGTTANTAAATAGTACTACATTTTAATCAAAGAATTAATTATATAAATAAATAAACAAAAGAAATGAAATATATGATACATAGTTGTTGAAACTAAATTGTCTAGAAAACTTAGAATTAGAATTAGAATTAGAATTGGAAGATGTCATGATTAGTTAAAATATAAAAAAACAAAGAAAATCTGGTTTTTGCATCTTCTGCTGTGCTTTTGTTGGCAGGACCTAAAAATGAGCTCCATGTCCTTTCATTTGCCATTCTCTCTCTCTTTCATATAATTTGTTGCTTTTCATTTTGGCATCACACAGTATCAAAGAGAGAAAGAGAAAGCGGTTTTGCAGAAAATCCAAGTGAATTTAAGGAGCCACCACTGTTCCAACCAGCCCTTTCATTTTTGTAGTGCCTGTTTGGTTTTTCGTCTTTGCATTCACTGTTCCACACGAAAAAAAGCTCTTTCGTTCCATCTCTTTCTGTCTCGAGATTGGTGTGTGCAGCAAGATAAAGCTCTCACTCTCTCTCTCTCTCAGTAGCATCACTGCTCTTCTTTAAACTCTTGAAACCCTGTTCAAAGATTGGATTTTGAGGGGAGTTGAGGGAGCAACATCTGATGAAGGAGTGTGGAGGCTCTCTGGGGGAAGAGGGCAAAGAAGAAGAGGACTCTAAAAAGGTGTCTTTTTGAATCGAAGAGCGTTTTGGGTTTGTTGTTATGGCACTTTGTATGCAGAGAGATTCAGTATTGAACAGGCTCATGGATTGTGGCAAGTATGTGAGGTACACTCCCGAACAGGTGGAGGCTTTGGAGAGGGTGTATGCGGAGTGTCCCAAGCCTAGCTCTTCCAGAAGGCAACAACTCATTAGGGACTGCCCTATCCTTTCCAACATTGAACAAAAGCAGATCAAAGTGTGGTTCCAGAATCGCAGGTAGAGGAGATAAACAGTCGTTGTTTGTGTTTTTTTTTCTCTGATTGGCATTCTCCCTTCTTCCCTTTGTTCTTTTCATTTCTTTTCTTTTGTTGGGAATGCTCAAAGGTGGATTTTCAGCTTCTTTCTTAGTATACTTGCTCTTCAGTGAGTTTTTTTTGCCCTTTCTGCAAACTTGGGTGTCATAAGAGGTGTTTTGTAATTTGCATATTTTTTATTTTTTGTTTTTCCAAATGTGCTACGTGGGTTCAAATTTAGAGAAATATTCATTCTTGCCGTTTCGAAAAGCTTTGAGCATCCCTTTTGAAGGAAAGATGCACATGAAAAGTTACTCCATTTTTGCCATTTTACTTGTAGATATCCCAGTTGTGAAGATCGATCTTTTTTCATTCTTTTGTTCATAAAAAATGGCTTCTTTATTTCTTATTTTTAGCTGGTTAATGGGAGATAACGACATCTACTTGTTCATTTTTGTAGGTGAATTTTTCTCAACCGCTCTCTTCTGACCTCTATTGTTTTTGTTTTAGACCATCNTAGTGGTTGTTTTATGCAAAAGAAAGTGGAATTGCATTTTAATGTATGTACTTTTGAATCACTTCCTCTATTGTTCTGTTGATATTTTGAATTTGATTTTTATCAGACATATGCACCTACAACCTTGGCAGCTGCAAGAGACTTCTGGACTCTAAGATATACTTCAACATTGGAAGATGGAAGTCTTGTGGTACTAAACTGAGATGAATCTTGGTTTTGTTTTTCTTGATATAGGACGTGACTTCTTTCATAGGAAAAACTTGTCTTGACAAAACTGTTTATTTGTTATTTGCCTTGCAGATTTGTGAGAGGTCTTTGACTTCTTCAACGGGTGGCCCAACAGGGCCTCCTGCTTCAAACTTTGTAAGAGCTGAAGTGCTTCCTAGTGGCTATCTAATTAGACCCTGTGAGGGTGGTGGATCTATTATTCACATTGTTGATCACATTGATCTGGATGTAAGGACAATGATGCGGTTAAAATCAGTTTTGAATTTTTCATATCTTTGAACTCCATCTTTCTAGTATGTTAACTTGTTAATTGATGTAGGTTTGGAGTGTTCCTGAAGTACTGAGGCCCCTCTATGAATCTTCAAAATTCTTAGCTCAGAAATTGACCACTGCTGTGAGATTTCGTATAATTAACACTGATTTAAATGTTTAACTCTTTAAACATTTATGAATTAAAATTTTAAATTTATTGTACAGGCCTTGCGACATGTAAGACAAATTGCACAAGAATCAAGTGGAGAAGTTCATTATGGTGGGGGTCGTCAACCTGCTGTCTTGAGAACATTTAGTCAAAGGCTTTGCAAGTAAGGCATTTTGTATTTGGAGTCTGAGGTCGTTGTGTTGTTGGGTATTTGATTAATCACTCTGTCTTCATCAATTCTTATTGACGAATTATTTGTTTGTAATTTGATTCAGAGGGTTTAATGATGCTGTCAATGGGTTTGTGGATGATGGTTGGTCGCCAATTGGTAATGATGGGGTGGAAGATGTGACCATAGCCATAAACTCATCTCCCAACAAGTCTTTTGGTTCCCATTACAATACATCCATGCTTCCAACATTTGGAGGTGGGGTTCTTTGTGCCAAGGCATCAATGCTCCTGCAGGTATATGATAATCCCATATAAACTCACGCGAAATTATCATTTTTGTCTAAATTCAATCTTGTATCAATTCCAAGAACTCTTATGGAATTTGGATATGTATCTCCATTATACTAAATTTACATTAATGGTTTACAGAATGTTCCTCCTGCTTTGCTTGTTCGATTTTTGAGGGAACATCGTTCTGAGTGGGCTGATTATGGGGTTGATGCATACTCTGCTGCATGTCTCAAAGCTAGTCCTTATGCAGTTCCTTGTGCAAGACCTAGTGGCTTCCCAAGCAGCCAGGTCATTTTGCCTCTTGCTCATACTATTGAGCATGAAGAGGTATTGATCTTTCTTAAATCTATGATTGATAAACTTGTTTCTAAATTTCCCATTTATATTCTCATGCCACCCACTGCAATGATGCAGTTCTTGGAGGTAGTTCGAATTGAGGGTAATGCATTTCCCCCTGATGATGTAGCTTTGGCGTGTGATATGTATCTATTGCAGGTAAAGCCATTTTTTTTTATCTTATTTAAGCAGGAATTACTACTGTTTCTGTCCATGTTTTTTACTAATTATGCAATTTGATGTGACAGCTATGCAGTGGAGTTGATGAAAATGCAATTGGAGCATGCGCACAGCTTGTGTTTGCACCTATCGATGAGTCTTTTGCAGATGATGCTCTGTTACTGCCTTCTGGTTTCCGCATCATACCATTGGATCCTAAAACTGTATGATGATGCATTTGTTTCTTAAATGACTTGGTCTTGTAGTTATTTTCTTAAGTNTGATCTGATGGTTGGTTGGTATCCTAATTTAGATGCACTTCTCGTTGTTCTCATTTTACATGTCTTTGATTTGAGGACATGATAGCTTAGTAAGGGACCTGTCGGAATATATATTAGGAAACTTTAAAGAGTGAGTGAGTTTACGATGAATGACCATCATGCAATGTTGTTGTTGTATGGGAAAAATGACCTACTCTACTTGCTTACACTTGTCGATGTTCTTCTTTAGATGTCGCGAAAAGCAGAGGAAGGAGGCCTCTCGTCTTCAGACAGTGAATAGAAAGCTGTCGGCGATGAACAAGTTGTTAATGGAAGAAAATGACCGTCTGCAGAAGCAGGTCTCACAGTTGGTTTATGATAATGGATACATGAAACAACAAATACACACTGTTAGTAACTTTACCTTTGGGTGATTGCCCTTCTAAATTCTCATTCTGAATATTCATTGGTGTGCCATTCTATGCACACTAGTGTGTTTGTAGTATACTGTTTCGTTGTTGCTGAAGAATATCATTTTGTGGTTTCTTAGCAGGCGTCTGCTACTACTACTGACAATAGCTGTGAGTCTGTGGTAGTGAGTGGTCAGAAGCAACAGCAAAACCCAAAAACTCAGCATCCCCAGTGGGATGCCAACAACCCAGCTGGGTAAGTTCTCCATGCATGCAAGCAAATTTGTTCAACTTACATTCATGAGTAGTTCCTAATTCTGTATTCTGCCAGTCTTTTTGCAATTGCTCAAGAGACCCTGGCAGCATTTCTTTCAAAAGCTACTGGAACTGCTGTCAACTGGGTTCAAATGATTGGGATGAAGGTGTGACCTACTCAATAACTCTTCATGGCCATAGCTTTCATAAATCGTATGTTTGTACACTTATGTTTTTTGCTTTTCATTCTTATGTAGCCTGGTCCGGATTCTATTGGAATCGTTGCTGTTTCCCCCAACTGTAGTGGGGTAGCAGCAAGAGCCTGTGGCCTTGTGAGCCTAGAGCCCACTAAGGTATTTAGCTTTAATCATAATCCATTTCTACTCAAGATTTATTTTCTTTGCTGAACAAAGAAACATTGCTTCATTGGCCTAATTGCATTCCAAATCATCTCAGGTTGCGGAGATTCTCAAAGATCGTCCATCATGGTATCGTGACTGTCGATGCCTCAATGTATTAAGCGTAGTCCCCACAGGGAATGGGGGCACAATAGAGCTCATGTACATGCAGGTCTAGTGGTTGTTTTATGCAAAAGAAAGTGGAATTGCATTTTAATGTACTTTTGAATCACTTCCTCTATTGTTCTGTTGATATTTTGAATTTGATTTTTATCAGACATATGCACCTACAACCTTGGCAGCTGCAAGAGACTTCTGGACTCTAAGATATACTTCAACATTGGAAGATGGAAGTCTTGTGGTACTAAACTGAGATGAATCTTGGTTTTGTTTTTCTTGATATAGGACGTGACTTCTTTCATAGGAAAAACTTGTCTTGACAAAACTGTTTATTTGTTATTTGCCTTGCAGATTTGTGAGAGGTCTTTGACTTCTTCAACGGGTGGCCCAACAGGGCCTCCTGCTTCAAACTTTGTAAGAGCTGAAGTGCTTCCTAGTGGCTATCTAATTAGACCCTGTGAGGGTGGTGGATCTATTATTCACATTGTTGATCAC